CGGATTTCCAGAGCTGTGGTAACATGCTGGATTGGTTGGATAGGCAATACTTGTCCAATGGAGCTCAAATTTGGATATGTTGTAGTTAACATCCATTGGAACAAGTCTCATGAAGATCATGACCTCATCCGAGTACCAGAGCATGTTGATCCCAGGCCAAGAAGTTGACCTACGAAAATGAACAAAAACAGAATTTATAACTAATAATGCACTTTTAGCTCATTTTCATCCCAACCAAGGTAAAATCTAAGAAAACACAAAAAGGAAGTAAAAAGCTATAAAATGTCAAGAACTAACTCAAAATAGTGGGTGAATAACATGAAAAATCATGTGTAAAAATGAACCGAACACATGCCACATATTAATTCACACATGTCAATGAATTGTCCTTTTGGGACTTTAAACCATATAATTTTTTACACAATAGGCGTACACCATATTAATATTGACATGTTAATGGATTGTCTTTCCGGGACTTCAATCCATATCATTTGCTACACAACAAGCGTGCATCATATTGAGCACTGCTATACCCTTGTTTTGTTCTTATGGGACTTTAATCTATGCAGTGTATTATCAATGTATCCAACTTGCAATCTATGAAATTTGCATTAATAATTCATGAATACATATTAGAATGATACAAGCCATTCTTCTAGAATGATTATAATACAAGTCGTTCTTATGGAACGATCTATAATGCAAGTCACTCTTCTGGAATGGTCTTTTGCATGGCTTTCTTCTGGGACGGTCTTATATCTCAATTTGGCTACCATTCAAGATGTTGTACAAAATATCAAAATAAGCGTACAAACATGAAATAACACAAGTATTTCTTACATCCTTAGGTGGGAGAAACTTTGCTCAAATATCATTCAAGCTTGTATCGGCTCAGCAAATATAATGTAACGCTTGATGATCTAGTTATATCCTGCAAGAGCAAAAATCACAATTCTTTTGTCTCTATAAAAAAATAACCCTCAGTGTTAGGATCACTACATGGATTTGTTCTTCAGATGATGGTTCTAAAGAAACAAAATCCCTTATGAACAGAGAGTTATAAAAAGAAAGAAAAGATACAAAGAATTATGATATTGATTGCAAGGTAGGTAAGCAATCAGGGAAGGAAACTAGTGAGGTAATAGACAACAAACTCTCATTTCTCCTACCCTAGAAGAACTTCAGGAGATTAGAGTATGTGGTCGTCCTTATCTGTCTTACAGTTCCCTAACATCACCAAAACGTGATCAGGGATAGCCTCGCTTCCTAAATGGATGATCAGAGATAGTCTCGCTTCTCAAGCACATCGAGCGCTCACTGATGGGAAAAACAAGTAGATATTGCATCACTAGATATGGAGGAAACTGGAGAAAACTGGATGTATTCTACAAAGAAAATTTCATTAGTAACATATTTATACACAAATTAGAGAAACAATTTGATCCGGTGAATTTCAAATTAACTACAGAATTTTGTGAGGTGCTCGAGATGCTTTTGAAAAAGTGACCACGTGAAATCTGTGAAAGCAAGATCGGCTTTGGAAAAAATAGTTCTTGAAAACCCTAAAGTGATGACACACATTAATTGAGGCCTCGTGAAGTTTTGAATTCTGGAAAAGAAAAAGAGAATATGGGAATCCGAGAAAATATTGGGATCCTGGAAATGTTGCCACATTTCCGTCTATAGATATTACCTTTATAAGGCCTGATTGGAGTAATTGCATTTCAACTCAACTTCCTTCCATTTTCTGAAAATTCAATTTTTCTAAGACTTTCCTCGACACCTTTTAAAATGGCTTCCTCTTCTGCTTGCCCAAACCATTTAGATCTAAATATTGCTCCTAAAACAACTCGTGACGCCCAAGTTTGGCGTCCATCCTTTGTATCCCAAAATCGTCATCTCACGGTTAATGACTCCGTAATGATGAATGATACAACTGCTATCATAGTTGCTAAGAATTTCCTTACTCTTATGGATGAAGTACTTTTAACAGGAAGGTCTAAGGAAGAGGCTATTGATGACTCAATGGCTTTTAGCATTCAGAGTGCTACTTTTGTTTCTAACATGGCTGATCATTTGCATGCAAACGAGATTTAGGAGTTGAACACTGAAAATTCGTCTCTTCGGAGAATGGTTCACGAGTCTCAGCAAGAGGTTGAAAACCTTAAAAAGGAAAATGAGGCTTTGTTGAAAATGGTGAGTTCATACTCCCTTAATACACAGATAAGGCTTGACATGTTGCAGATTTCCATTGAAAAGATTCTCGAAGACCAAGAGAGGCTCATGTATTTGCAATAATTTATTTACCTTTTTCAAATGGGCATGAAATATAATTTGAGGGAAACCCACGATAACATTTAATATAGTAATGAAGAGTATGAATTACTATATACCCAAGAACTTCAGGTTCGGGATTTCTCATATATTTGGATCCATGGGCTTTCGGCCCAGATCATATAATATAACAAAATATGTGGGGAGCCTCAATTCATCATTTGAGGTTTATCTTGATATTGGTGTATCCTTAACAACAGGAGTTCCAAAATATATTGCTTCCTTGAGGTGTCGATTGTAACAGAATCGAGCCTTATTAAATTTATCATTTTCTTATGCCATTTATTGTTTTCTTATGCCAAAGAAATATGGGATGTACCACAATTTGCAATAATACCTCAAGGGTTGTCCATTTAATTGTTGGAACTTCAAGTTCTCAATACTATTAAATTTTGAACTTCATGCCAAAATCACATATTTTCATGGTATGGACATTCAATACTCTTAGATTTTGAACTTCATGCCAAAATCACATATTCTCATGGTATAGACATTCAATTTTGAACTTTAGGCCCTTACATAATTGTCCATGTTTTGAGGAACTTCTGGCTTCTCATTTAATTGCTTATCCATGAGTTTAAGGAATTGCAGGTTCCCTTCTGTAATAGTGACGGTTTACCCAAAATGGTTAATATTTATGCATACATTACTATTCATGTATGATACTATTCATCAAGTCACGAATACATGTCTATTCATGCGTACAGTACATTTGCCAGTACAGTTACTACTCATGGGTACGACACTATTCATGTATATGGTTACTAATCATACATTTGCCAGTACATTTACTATTCATGTGTAATGTACTATTAACCGATACAGTATTGTTACATCATCAAGGAACTCCAGGTCCTTAGTTAAATTATTTGTTGTATGGACATTAATTCCGCACCTTTCTTTAAATAATAAGGTAAATGTGCTTGTATGAGCACTAATTCTACTTCATTCTCTTAAATAATTAGTAAAGGCAATTGTGTGAACTATAAACCCACGCCACACTTTTAAATAAATACTGTTGTATGGGTAATAAACCTACACCATACAATTTAAAAAATGAATCATGGCGGACAATGATATTGAAGTGATCATTGTGCATATGTGCATGCCTTCAATCTTGTTGCTTTCTCACCTGCCATTAGCACAACTCAAACTCTTTGTATAGTCAACATATATATAAAGTGGTATTGAATACTGTAGAATATTAATAAAATAAAATAAGAAGATAAAGAGATGGAGCTTATCAATTTTTTTTTTTCATTTTCTTTTCAAGATGGCAAACTTGGCAAACTTGTCAAAGCGGGAATTTGATGCCCAAGACATATATGGGAACAACTATCTATCATGGGTCCTAGATGCCAAGATCCATTTGTGTGCCAATAGCTTTGGAAAAACAATTGTAGATGGAAGTGATGCATCACATAAAGAAAACGCAAAGGCTATGATTTTTCTTCGTCGTCACATTCATGAAGTGCTGAAAAACGAATACGTGGAGGTCGATGACCCATTGGTTCTGTGGACAGCCTTATACGAAAGATACAATCACCAGAAGACGGTGATCCTCCTAAGAGCCAGATATGAGTGGACAGTTGAGATTCCAAGATTTCAAGTTAGTGTCTGAGTACAACTCAGCAATGCACAGAATCACATCTCTGATGAAATTGTGTGGTAAAAATATCTTTGAGGAGGATAAGCTCGAGAAAACCCTCAGTACCTTTCATGCCCCAAATGTGCTCCTCCAGCAACAATATAGGCATAGCGGTTTTACGAAGTACTTTGAACTGGTATCTTGCCTTTTATTGGCTGAGCAGAACAATGAGCTTCTATTGAAAAATCAGCAATCTCGCCCAACAGGCTCAACACCATTTCCTAAAGTAAATGTTGCATCTCATGAAGCGAATACCACCTCATCTGGTGGCAGTACCCACAGACGTGGGCAAGGAGGCGAGCGTGGCCGCTAGCAAGGGAATAGAAAAGATTGTGGTGCCCATTCATATGGCTTGGGTCAAGGAAGCAATCCATCCACGAGAAGCAAAAATGCATCCCGGAATAAGGGGAAAGCACAGACAAGCCATGTGCCTAGAAATATTGAAGGCGCTTGTCACAGACGTGGCGCAAAGGGACATTGGGCGCGTACATGCCGTACACCGAAGCATTTGGCGGATCTTTATCAATCTTCATTCAAGGACAGGAAAGTTGAGACAAATTATATTGATCATGCTATACCATATCTACCAGCCACAGATGGCCCATTGGAAATATCGCGTCAGTTAGACATGACGCATCTGGATGTTTTCGATTTTGTTATTGAAAGAGGGAATGAAGTTTATGGGTCCGAATTAGACTAAATCCCTTTATGTACCATTTGTATTATTTGAAGTACTGTTTTTAATTTTTATTTCAATTCAATAAAAGTGATAGTGTTTTTCCTTACATTGAATAATTGTTTATTGATTCAGCTTATTTTACTTATTTGAAGGCATAGAAATAGACAGTGCGACTACTTATACGATCCTTCGAGATCGAAAGTATTTCTCCAACTTGATGCTTACAAAAGCAAAGATAACAACCATATCAGGGCCTGCAACTATCGCAAATTAGATTCATGTCCATGTCGTCGACATATACTGCCACTATCACAAATCCAAACTTTGATTTCTTAATAAACACACATGGGCAAATAGGATCATTTGTGTATCATTCCTTCAGTAAATACTTACTGAGACGATTGCACCATATTCGCCCAGATTGTTTTAGCCCATACAATGATCTTCTCAATTTAATTGAGAATATGCCTCGTGGTTTATTCCTGGCTGCTTCAGGCAGCCTAAGCCCTTCTGGTATATCATGTATATTTATATGTATCCAATTCTCCATACAGATATGCAGTAATGACATTCATAAGTCTCATTTCAAGTTTTTCTGAAACTACTGTTAAGCTCATAATTTCATACATATACATGCCCTATTTACTTACTTCTTTTGCTTAGTTTCTTAGATTTCAAAGTTGTTTACCTCCCTTTGTGTGGTTTGTAGGCAAATAGAGCAAGAGAGCATAATTCATGCAATTCAAGCATGTTAAGGCCTAATTTGGATGAATGGATGAAGAGCTTAAAAGACAAACTCATTTTGGCTACAGCCCCCTGCCAGTCCAGTTCCGTAGGTCATATTGCAAGCTTTGTTTCAGCAACCTACACAGCTCGGATGAGGCAGCATTCTTCATGAAAGTTGTTCCAATGGGTGTGTACTATAACATATCCCAAATTCAGCCCCATTGGATAAATATGGAGTCTGTTACCTAGCAAACACAGAGCCATGCTCAGGATGGATTTTATCAGCGCGCAAAATGAGTTAGCAATTTGTTTTGGCCTTAACTTCCTCCTCCGACCTTGGATTGGCCCAAATAACATATGGCTGGAAAGAAGACATTCTGAACTTCAAGTGCTTAAAGTCTTAATTTGCTTAAGGGAACCCGAACCGGATATAAACCGGTTCGGGTTGGTGCGGTTCTCTTAGGTGTTTAATTGAAAAACCGGACCGAACCGGACCGAATGAACAGTACCGGTTTCGGTTTCGGTTTCGGGTTTAGGTGTCACACCCCGGACCCGGGGGTAAGCAGAAACCCCGCGCCCGGTGCGTGAGTAAAATAAAATAAAAAGAAAACCGAAACATAAAATAAACTTTTCTTATAAAAATAGATCCCAAAAATCTTACAACTTTACAAATAATAAATAAAGCTCTATCACTCTCATCTAATTCAGCCTGAACCGGTTTAGTCCTTGTCTTGCCCACT